CCGAGTGCACAATTTTTTGTGCACTGGGCCTCTAGTCCTATATAATAAAAGCCTAATATGCAAATTGACTGAACAGTGGAACTACCTGTGGAATGACTGGTCACTATGATGCGCACTGACTACCAGGGGGCAGATGCTCAATGCAGGAGCTTTCCCCAACCTGCAGGCCCCAGGCCAGCCAAGGCGGGTCCAGTGGGGGCCCCCGATACCCCCACCAGTCGCCTCCCACAGATGGGCCCTGACTGCCAGCCAGGCCTAGGGACCCTACCCACGCATGAATTTTATGCATCGGGCCTCTAGTTGGTTAATAAAATTATGTAAGTCATACCAATAAATGTATGTTAGGTTGTCAAAGATATCATCTTATAATAAATAGTGTATTAATTTAGCTTAAAACCAAGGGAATGGCTCACAGTGAAATACAAAAATGTCTCAATCCCACACAGGTTGCCAGAAAGATAATAAAAACAATTGTAAAAAAATAAGTTTTCTACCATTGTCACCACAGAGGACTATTAAAAGAATATGGATATCTCAATTTGTTCCTAACTAACCTAGACTCCTTCATCAGTTGTACCCTACCTCCTTTGCCTCCATCACCCCTATATCCAGTTGATCCAAATTCTACTAGTCCCCTGTCTCTGCCTTTCTCTTGGATTGCTGCAGCTGCTTTTAAGCTTGTCCCCTGTCAAATTCATTAGACATGTTAGATTGATCCATCTTTCACACAAACTTGTTAAATCTTTCAATGACTTCTAATCATTCATTGATTAATAATAATTTATTGAGTGGCTTGTAAGTGAAAGATGCTCTTAGGCAATATCTGTACTTATATAATCTTAACAGCAAATCTGCAAGTTAGATTTTGCACATTTATACAGGACCAAAAAAAAAAAACACATTAAAAAATACAAAAAATCAAAATCTAAAATAAAATCTGAAAGTCTATGTACTTTACCCTGTTTACTTTTTCAGCTTTTATTCCTACACTTTCTCCCAAAGATCCAATTATCATGTGGCTTCATGGTTCCTACCTAAAATTCCTTTATTCTTTTTTAAAAATATATTTTATTGATTTTTTACAGAGAGGAAGGGAGAGGGATAGAGAGAAACATCGATGAGAGGGAAACATCAATCAGCTGCTTCCTGCACACCCCCTCCTGGGGATGTGCCTGAAACCAAGGTACATGCCCTTGACCAGAATCAAACCTGGGACCCTTCAGTCCGCAGGCCGATGCTCTGTCCACTGAGCCAAACCAGTCAGGGCAAATTTCTTTATTCTTATTATTTCCTGGCAGAATGATGTTCTTCATGTTTCTTTCTTTTCTTTTTTTTATTGTTAAAATATTACTTATGTCTCCTTTTTCCCAGGTTGAACTCACCCCTCCATTCCCAGCCCCCTGGACAAGCTTCCACCGCCCCATTGTCCATTTCCATTGGTTTTGCTAATATGCGTGCATAGAAGTCCTTTGGTTGATCTCTAACTCCCCTCCCCCACCTTCTCTCTGAGGTTGGATGGTTTGTTCAGTTTAACCTTGTCTCTGGATCTATTTTTGTTCATCAGTTTATGTTGTTCATTATATCCCTTATATGAGTGAAATCATGTGATATTTATCTTTATCTGACTGGCTTATTTCACTTAGCAAAATGTTCTTCACTTCCATC